CTTTATAAAAGAAATTGAAGAATATACAAAAAAGTGTAAAGAGGGTGGACTAGAGGTGGCCTGTACTCACAAATCATGCTGTAATATCCACCCAAAGCAATATGCACACAGCTCTGTGAAAATATAGGTGTCATGGCTTATGTCTAGATGCCCCCCCAAGCCACATGCAGTTGTATGTGGGGCTTTTCAGAGGTGATTGAATCTACAGTGTGATGTGACATGAAGTGTGTGGTGCTGGGATCAAGAGTGTGTGTTTGCTAAATTAGTCCCCTGATTAGTTTGGCATAGTTCTGGGGGTGGACAATGGGAAGGTCTTCCCTGGGTGTGAGTGCCACCTGAGCAGGTAGCCTGAATAGATTATAAGGGACAGAAAGAGGGCTGCTGTAGTCACATGGTGCTTGTTGCTTGCTACTTCATTGCTTTGCTGCCTTCCATCCACCATGCATTGCTTTTCCTTTGCACTGCCCCTCTGGCATGCTCCCCTGCCTTAGAGCCAGCCAACTATGACCTGAAACATCTACGGACTGAGCTACAATAAACCTTTCCTCCTTTAACTTTGGGCATTGGGTATTTTGTCTCAGTCATGAGAAAAGTAACTAAGACATAGGGGTAAACAGAACTTAATGGGACTACTTGTTGAAAGGGCTAGCAACCAGGTAAAATGCTGAAATACCGGTAATTAGATAAATAACTGAAATAATGCATTTTGGCACTGCAATGAGTGGTAGAGCGGGAAAGCGGTCCTCCCTAGTATGCAGCAGTGAAGGGGAAACACAGCATTCTCTTATGAGCACTGCCTCAGCTGCAGGACAGAGATAAAACCCAAGTAGTGCAGATGGCTAACTATAGCCAAATGAACAGAAGACAGGAGTAGTAATCCCCTTCTTTTTGGTAGTGGGAAGCCAAATAGGAAATTGACTTGGACCAAAGAGGGTCAGGAGACCACTTCGAGCAACTCCAAGCACAGAAAACCTGCACATTTTCATATCCAAACATAACTATCACTTCACTACAAGAGGCAAGTGGCTACTATCCCTAATAATTAGAGTGGGCCCAGAAGAAAAGTAACTGACACATGATAAAACTAAAATCATAAGATCAAGGGAGGGAGAACCCACTCTTCAGTTTTCAGGAGACCAAACCCTGGGCTGGGAGAATTCTGGCAGAGTGAACAACAGCAGGAAACACCAGAAGCTTGAATGCAGAACAGCCATGGGAGTTCGATCTGAGCGTGGGGTTCTCCTACAGAGACCATGAAAGCCTGGGCCAGCAGTCCCCAATAAAAACACCACCCCTGTGAGCCCATCCTCCTTCCAATTCTGTTGGAGGAACTTGTAGTGAAGACAGCAACTCACAGTCACTAGGCAGACACAGCTCCCAAAAGCGCAGTCTGGAAATTTACAGAGCTTTGGCCCATGTTGCAGACCCGATACAGACTGCTGTCCCCTTCACCCCCAGGTACAAAAGAATTTAAGTGAGTAGGTAGGAATTCAGACACTGAATTCAGTCTACCCAAGTTCCTTGCCACAATCTCAGAAAGGTGGTGTTCAGACTCCTGCAAGCTCTACAAGGCCTCTCCTATTTAAACTGAGGCAGAAGAACTCTGGACTAATTTGGATTCCAGTATGAATACCATTGAAAGGAAGAATGTTGCACCTGTATTGTTGTTGTTGTTATTGTTTGTTTGTTTGTTTTAATGGTGTTTCTTTCTGGAAGTGTTTAAATATTCCCAATGGTAAGCCAATAGCAACTCTGTTTGCTACACAATGACAGCAACTAGGCATGATAAAGTGCTGTCATCAGAATTTAGATATGAAAACTTAACAAACTGAACTCCCTCTTGCCTTCAGAAGGAGTCAGTAGGAGTGTGGGTAGCTTAGTGTCACAGAAGTCACTGGCTCAAGTTATGATCCGCTTTTCTTCACGACTTCATATGGCCAAACTCTTTCCTGAGCAGATGCTTCAAAAGGTGACGTAGGGCAGAAACAGTACCTAATATCCACATTCGAGTTTTCATCACGGGCATTACAAACCCAGGAGTTTTCCATCTGAATTACTCCTCAGAGTAGACTTGGCGAGGGGAATGTTTCACCAAAGCTGTATTTTTAAAACACTGTTTTATTCTAAGAGCCAAATGAAGGTATTCTTTAGAGATTGGGTTTTGCTTTTCTCTGCTGTGAGGTGGCGCTGTAGGACAAGAGTTCTGTTGCCAAACCAGATGCTAGAATCCTTTCTCTGAAGAATTTTTATTTCATACCACTGTAGACCCAGGGTCTCACTTTAGCCAGCCTCTCTTTACTTGAATAAACAAGTGTCTTAAAAGTTAATTCTTTATGAACAAGGTCTTTGAATACTTTTTATACAGTGATCTTCCCACAGTTTAAAATTGCTCTAATTTTACCCTATAGGAAACTGTCAGAGCTCCCTTTTACAGAACTTGGACTTCATAGCTGTGTATCTATTCCTGGAAGGTGGTGGGGAGACATAAACAAGCACTTAGTCATACTTGGAAGCTACAAGTATTAATTCTATCTTGCTCCACTGAAGAAGTTCTAAGAAAAAATATCAGCTTGGCATCTTCAGGACTTTCCAGGCAGAAATGTCTTCACCTCTTTCATAAATTTCTATTTTGTGGGGGGGAGGGACAACAAAATTCTTACAATGTAGACACTGTGTTGAGCCCTTAAAGAGATTTTCTTGGGCTGCGGACGCAGCTCAGTGGAAGAGCTTTTGCAAGCCTATCTCTTCAATCCTCAGCAGTGAGAAAAAAAGAAAAGAAAATCTTATCCCAGACAGTAAATTTTGAACATTTGCACTCTTTTCTGGGGAAAGGTCCTTGCCCCCTCAGTCTCTCTGAAATGATCTATAATGCTTTTGGGAATGCTGCCTCCTGTAATAGAAGCTGATAAGCTCTCCAGATTCTCCTGAAGATGGGAAAGAACTCAATGCTTGCGGCTCTACTCCCAAGCGAACATGAGCAACTTGTGTGGGACGAAGTGGTTTCTACTCACGCTGAGAGTCAGTTCTAATAAGTGCCACTTGCTCAGAGCTTTACAAATCGCAAAGCAGCAGAGGGAGCTTCAAGAAAGTTTAGATCACACTAACACAGGATATTCTTCTAAATCAAGGGAGCTGTTTTTGTAAGTTCTGCACCCTTGTCACCTCTTGGCAGCACCTCATTTACAAAAGAGATTAGCATTCACAAAAGAATTGCTTGAATAAAAGAACTTCATTGAGTTTATAGAATGGGCCACAAACTGGTTATTCTTCTCACTTTATGTAAATCATCTCATTTAATCCTTACAAAAACACTAATGGGGTAGGTACTATTATTACATTTTGATGTATAAGGATATTGAAGAAAAGTTAAGTATCTTTTATGGCAGAAATTAATAGTCATAATACTGTTAATATCCATTTACTACTTACCGTATGTCATATTTAATCTTTATAGCACCACTGTTGCTATTCCTTTTTTTATAAGGAGAGACCCCTGAGGTTCATAAAATTATTTACCCAGAGTCACAGCTAGAGAGCAGCAGGACCTAAATTTGTGAGATTTCTTCCAGGACTTGCCTATACCGTCTTCTCTCTATGCTTATCCCAGTCCAGTGGTCAAGAACCCATGGCACACGTGCCGCAGAGGGGTCTTCGTTATCATTGAGAGCTCTAGAAAGGTTCACTATTACCGTGACCTAAACCTTTTTAAATCATTCCACTTCCACCGGGGCCGCTCTCAAAACTGATTCTGTCAAGCTATCTCATGACCTCCAGTACCCCACGTCAGCAGCATTTGACACACCTACTCGGACACCCTTTGTCCCCTTCCAGAACCACTCACTCTGTAGGAGCCCCTCTAACTCGCTGGTCAAGCCTTGATGTCTTCTTTCCTGGATCCTCCTCTTCTCCTCAAGGGTACCAGGCCTCCCTCTCCTGGCCAGTTCCTCCAATCTCCTGGCTTTAATTGCTCTCTAGGCTGAGGACACCCACATTTGTAAGACCAGCCCATTCCTCCTCCCAAACTCTAGATTCAAATGCCTACTTGACCTCTCGCTGAGACCTCCAAATGTTTTAAACTGAGCACGTCCAGAGTGGATCTCATGGCTCCATCTGCACCCACAACCACGCCACCTATGCAGTTTTTGGTAACCCCTCCTTCATGAGCCCAACGCCTGCATTGTTACTGATTGTTTCCTTTTGTCCACCCATCCACCTGTTCAATCAGCCAGGAACTCCTATTGGCTCTACATTCAAGATGTAGCTGGAACCTGACTAGTCTCACAGCCCTCTTCCCATCACACCGGTCAACACCCTGCTCAGCCTGGTTACAGCCTCTACTGCTTTCCCTCTTTACTCCGTTCTCGGTAAAGCAGCCAGAGAGTTCGGTTCACACTCTGAGTCCCATGGTATCAGTCCTTCCAAGGAGCCACAAACAGTGTTTCCAGTAACAAAGCAGGATGCCCAGTTAAATCTGGATTTCAGTAAATAGCAAATAAATTTTTAGCATGGCTTATGCAATATCTGAGACATTAAAAAAGTATTCATCGTTCCTCGGTTAAATTTGGATTTCAGATAAATGGTGAGTGCATTTTCATTATGTCTTATGCAATATCGGAGACACACTTTAAATGTTTTCATTGTGGATTCCATTATTTTCACTTGCTAAGTCTGCCAACCTCACCCACAAGGCGGCCCTACAGAGTGCCCAACTATTCCCTCCCCACCTCGGACTCATCTCGCAGCATCCCCCGCGCACTCCACTCCACCCACACTGCCCCCTTCCCTCTGGGCCTCTCCCTTAGCTGCTCTCCCTCCAGCGTCTCCATCTTCTCAAAGGGGTCATTTTTAAAATGACCTCTCAACTCACCACTGGCTGTGCCCCTTACTCTGCCCTGCTTCGGTTTCAGCCACTTCCCTTATTCCTGGGACTCCATACTCAACACCGACTCATTAAAGGAGAGGCTTATTTTGACACAGTTTTAGAGATTTCAGTCCTTGCAGGGTCATAAGGGCCTCGGCAGAGAGAAGCGGCTCACCTCGGGGCAGCCAGGGAAACCAGTGCAAGGAGGAGCTGGGGAGAGGCATCCCAGTGACCGCCCCTCTGAGCAGGCCTCGCCTCCTAACGTCATCTGTAGCGTCCCTTCCATTCCATCACCCTTCAAAAGCCGCCCTTCCTTTGAGTGCACGAGGCTCCGGAAACACTGGATATATAAACCGTGACAACTTCTTTCCTGGGCACCGAACTTCTAACGTCAGGCAGAAATCATTTTTCTCACCATCTGTGAGTCTCCACAGCTCAGGTGTTTTGCTCCATGTTTGGCATTGTATCCTGAGAGGCTAGAATAAATAGCACATAATTACACAGTAAATAGTTGAATAAACGAGCGGTTTCAGAGCCTATGCTCCTGGGCTTGGATGTCGCTCAGCGGTAGAGCGCTCGCCTGGCGTGTGTGAGGTTCTGGTTTTGATCTCGCCCCCTCCACACACAACAAAAGAGCCTGCGCTCATTTCCAGTGCACTGTGCGCCTTGTGCTTCAATGTTTCTTACGGCAAACATTTGAAGAAACCATGAGTGCACAGCCCGGAGAGGAGACTATTGGTAGGGACTGGGGGTGACCTTGTGTCCCGGCAGGAAGCGACTTCTGCCTCATTCTGGGTCAAGGCACAGATTTGTCCCCAGCCCTCTGCCCAGGCAACTGCCACACTCTCCATACTCTCAGCATTGCCCTCTACTAAACAACAAGAAACTTGTTATTTTCTTTGCACTAGGCCCTAGGCTAATCTTGTACGTAAGAATAAACAAGATAATTTCTGCCTAGAAAGGCCTTATGGTGATGATAAGGTCCTTGCCTGTCTGATGAAATAAAAGGGAATTGGGCCTGGCCGGCCCGAATCACTGCAGAAGCCACAATCCCAGATATTCCAGTCTCCCCCTGGTTACTTCCTACTCTGGTAACCCCCAAGAGAAAACCAGTGTGAATGCTAAGCAGGAGCGGGGAGAAGAACATCTGCTCTAACCTCTCCCTGACCCTGCTGCAGTAGCTCAGCAGAAATGAATTAAAGTGAGGAAGCCTGTTGGCGTCAGTCTCCTTTGACGCCAACAGGAAGGAGGAGCAGAGAAGCAGATTTGCTGCTGACAGTCATTTCCCCCCAGAAAGCCCCAGGAGGAAAAAATATTAGAGCTGAGATAATGATATTTACTAACAGCCTTGTACAAAGCTTTGACTTCCTTCTTTCTGTGCTATTGAGTGTTCCTGAATTATCATCTTAATAAACACTTGCTAGCAAGAAAATGCTGGGGCAGTTTACAGAGGTGTAATACAGTAGTAACATGGCTAAAATGTATCCAGCAGGAGGTGGAGAAAGGGGTGTCTTTGGAGAGTGTGGTTTGCAAAGCCCCTTTCCTTTTTTCCTTCATTCCAGGCAGACCCTCCAACAGGTACTAGGCTCCGTAAAAGGGCTGTCATTCACCTCAGTGAAAATTTAAGAGGAGCCTGTTTGACCCAGTCTGTGGGACTTCCTGTTTCCATGGTGGCTTAGTCTGTTTGTGCTGCTATAACAAAATATGTGATACGGGAAAATTTATAAATCTGTTTCTCACAGTTCTAGAGGCTGGGAAGTCCAAGATCAAGTTCCCAGCACCTGGTGAGGGCTTTCCTGCTACATCATCCCATGGCAAAAAGGCAAGAGAGCACACATAAGACAGAGAAAATGGAACTTTTATTTCCAGCTTTACAGAGGTATGACTGACAAAATTTGTCTACAGTTAAGGTATTTTAATCTGATGATTTGATACATAAATATATTGTAAACGGATTATCACAATCAAGCTAATAAACAGATCCATTGGCCTCACATAACTATGTCATATAACTATGTCACATAACTATTTCATGTCTGTGTGGTGAGAACACTTGAGATTTACTGTTAGCAAATTTCAAGAATAAAATATTTTATCATCTGTTGTCATGTGCTGTACTTGAGAGCTATTATCTCATAACTGAAAGTTTGTACCCTTGAACAGCATCCCCTTTTCCCTCACTACCTGACCACTGGTAACTACTATTCTACTCTGTCTCAAGTCCCTGTATAAATAGATCATGCAGTATTTGTCTTTGGGAGCCTGTCTGTTTCCTGCAGCACAATGTCCTCCAGTTTACTCATTTTGTCACAAATGTTAAGGCTGCTTTATTTTTTTAAAGTAGAATAATATTGGAGTGTGTGTGTGTGTGTGTGTGTGTGTGTGTGTGTGTGTACTTTATCTACCAGTGGGCATGTAGGTCGCTTCCATATTTTAGTTATTGTCAATAAGACTCCAAAAATGGGGGGTACAGTTATCTCTTCCAGCCACTGATTTCATGTTTTAAACATAAAACCAGAAGATTGCTTGATTATATGTTAGTGTTACTTTCAATTTTTTAGGAAACTCCGTGCCATTTTTCCATACCAGCTGTACCAGTTTACATTCCCATCAGCAGCACACGAGTTCCCTTTTCTCCATATCTTGTCTTTTTCATTATAGCCACCTAATAGATATGTCTCATGACTTTGTTTTAACATTTCCCTGATGGCTAGTAATATGAACACCTTTTCATATATTGTCCATTCATACATCTTTTTTTTTTTTAGGAATGTCTATTCATCTCCTTTTCCCAGTTTTTCATTGGATTTTTGTTACTGAATTATATGCATTATTTTTATTTATATATTTTGGATTTTTTTCTCAGCACTGGGTCTTGAACCCAGAGATATTCCACCATTGAGCTACATCCCAGCCCCTTTTAATTTTTTTTTAAATTACGGACCAGTTGTGGTGATGCATACCTGTGATCTCAGCACCCTAGGAGGCTGAGGCAGGAGGACTACAAGTTCCAGCCCAACCTGAGCAACTTAGCAAATCCGTGTCTCAAAATTTAAAAGGGAAGAAGGGCTGGGGATACAGTTCAGTGGGAAGGCCCTGCGCTTAATTCCCAGTACTGCAAAAAATATTGTTTGAATCAGGATCTTACTAAATTGCCCAGGCTGACCTTAAACTTGTAATCCAATTGTCTCAGCCTTCTGAGTATCTAGGATTACAGACTTCTGCCACTGCATCCTGCTTGGATATTAATTCTTTACAGAGTTTATGGTTTGTACATATTTTCTCTCATTCCCTAGACTGGCTTTTCACACCATTAATTGTTTCCTTTGCCCTGCCCACTCTTTTTGGTTTAATATAGTCCTCACTTGTCTATTTTTGCTTTTTATATCCTATGCTTGTGTTGTCATATCCAGAAAATCATTGCTAAAGACCAGTGTCAAGATTATTTCCTCCTGGGCCAGGGATTTAGCTCAGTGCCTCCACCACCTGCCTCACTAGTGCGATGTCCTGAGTTCAATCCCTGGTACTCCCCCCACCAAAAAAAAAAGATTATTTCCTCCTTTGTCTTCCTCTAGGAGTTTTACAGTTTCAGGTTTTATATTTAATTCTTTAATCCATTTGAATTTATTTTCGTGTATAGTATATGGTACACTAAGTATTTTTGTACTTTTCCATGTGAATATCCAAGTTTTTCTGGCACCATTTATTAAAGAGATTATCCTTTCTCCTTTCTGTTTTCTTAGTACCTTTGTCAAAGTCCATTTTCTGCAGATTCATGGATTTATTTCTGGGTTCTATTAGCCTGTGGGTCTGCACCATTCTATTCCTATTCCTGCAGTTTTGTAATAATTTAAAACCAGGGACTGTGACACCTCCAGCTTTAATTTTCTTTTTCAAGATTTCTTTAGCTATTTGAGGGGTTGTAGATTCCTTGTACTAGTATTAACATTTCAACAACTTCCAGCCCATGGACATGGAAAATCATATTTCAACTTACGCGTATCTTCTTCAATTTCTTTCATGAATGTTTTAATTTTTTTAGTGTACAAATCTTTCTCCTAATGGTTATGCTTATTCCTAAGTATTTTAGTATTCTTTTTGATACTTTTATAAATGTAAATTGTTTCATCTCCTTTTCTACTTCTTTTCAGATAGTTCATTATTAACATGTAGACGTGCTCTGCTTTTCTGTACATTGATTGTGTATCTTTCAACTTTACTAAATTTATTGAATTGTTGTTAACAGGTTCTTCTGGTAGATAAAAGTTAACTACATTATCTTCCGTTTTTCCAACACACCAAAAAGGAATTTTTTAGGAATGCTCTAGACTCAGTACTTAATTCCTAAACCTGGAATACCTTCCCTTGACTCTGTCTTTCATCCTGGGCACATTCAGGTGAGTGTGGGGACCCCACAGCTTTAGCTCTATGACTTTTTTTCTCATTTCATCCACCTGGCAGTTCTGCAGGTGGGAGTTGTGTGTCTGCAGTGTTCCGAGCTGCATACTGGTGGCCTTACAGCCCTGGGATTTCTGAGGCTGTCAATTCCCATAATTCTACTAGGCATTGCCCTAGCAAGGCCCCTCTGATGTAGTTCCCCCACTGCAACAAATCTCTGTTGGACTCCCCAGCTGCCCAATATTCTTTGAAATCTAGGTGGAGGCTACTATGGCCCAATAGTTCTAGTGTTCTGTGCATTTGCAGAATTAATACTATGTGGATCGCCAAAGCTTACGGCCTGTACTTTCCAAGATGTCAGGCTGAGTTTCACCTGAGCCTGCATGAGTCACAGCTGGGCATCTGAGTGCTGCCCTGGACTTCAGGAAGCAGATGCCCAACATGGAACAGAACAGCAAATACTGGGGTCCTGAGACAACCTCTCTGGAGACTTTGCTCCCAAGGCAAATTCTGGGTCTATGATGGGAGGGGCAGTTGGAAGATTTTCTAAATGCCTCGAGATCTTTCACTGTCTGCACAAATGACTCCCTCCTCCCCATGATAATCTCCTTAGCAAATAGTAACTTGGCTACATACTTGGTTTCTTCTCCTACAGATTCCTTTACACTCTTTTGGTGGCAAGACTATAAATTTTCCAGTGTTTCATTCTTTTTTCCATTTTATTATAAGTTCCATCTTTAAATCATTACCCTCTTTTCTCATTTTACTGTATGCAGTTGAAAGTATCCATGAAGCTCTTTTTTCCCCTTAGGAATATCTTCAGCCAGATACGCTAGCTCATTACTCTTAGGTTCTGCCTTCCCCAAAGTCCTAGGACAGGTACCCTTGTGGGTATCCTACTCAGGATCCCCTCCCAGCTAGTGACAGCTTTACTTCCTCGCCTTTATATATTTAAAAATAAATTTGCCTGCACCTTACCACCTTTGCTCGTGGTTTCATTCTTTGGCACTGTGATACATAACCCCAGCGTTCTGGTAACATTACTAGGGTGGCTTTTACTCTAGTTTCCAATACGTTG